CATAACGTCACATAACCGGTGGTGAACCTTGGCGGTTCGTAGGCAAAGCATTGGTAAATTGAAGTTGTAATTAGGTCTTCATTTAGTGAGTTCCGGATTCTCACTCAACAATGAGGCACACCAGGATATGTCAGATCCTTGCTTCAACCACGTTTCTATGTTCACCCACCCGCATCCAAAGTCACGTCCTTGTGTTTTCCACCAACCTGCTTCGGCAGGCAGTTCCTGGCATCCTACCGGTCGGTGAAGTTGGAGGCGCCCCCGACCGGAGGTACCCGTCGATCTGTTGGAACATCGCTTCCACGAAACCATGGTGGGTCAGGCCAGTCCCTGTAAGCAGACCGGAGGACACCAAAAGCAGGCAGAAATGTTCTCAAGATGTAGAGGTCTGAAATCAAAAGTATGAGGAACGGCTTGTATTGAGGAAATTTGAGGAACATATTGATCAGCCGCTTGAGATATCTGGGTTAGAGTAATCTTAGGCGCTATGATAGCAACCGCGTGAGTGACCTAGGGGTGGTGGGCGCGGTTTGGCGGATAGATCGGAGGGTAAACTTCAACCTTTTGATGATGTCCGCTTCTTGTTTTCGATTCAGGCAATGGCCAATGACTTTGGTGTCTCTGCAGCCTTCATCGACACAGAGCTCTCGTGCGCCCAGATGTTCTCACCTTTGTTGCGTTGACATCAGATGATTTGAAAGATCATCGACTATGACTATTTACACATAAAAACAATTTGCTCAATGTTGATTTCAATTCACGTATATACAATAGTATTGGTGATCTCAGACCAACATCCGGCCAAAGCTTTGAGTGTGTTGATGGAAGATGACTCTGGCAAAGTGGAGCTCTATAAGCCTGTTGGGACGTTCATGTGGAGATTCTATTTACAAATTGCACGTATATACATGATTGCTGGTGTGGCCCAGGGCCCAGTGGAGTCATTACTTTCAAAAGCAACAACCTTTCGAACAGTGCGCAGAGAGATGCGACAATCCTCCAAGCCACTTTGCCGAAGGGTGTGTTTGAGAAGGCATTGTTGTTGTTGTTGTTGCTGTTGGTAGAGACAAAAACAGCTGCCCAACATAGTTGTCACATGTTGCAAGTCAGGGATTTCAAAGGGACACTGTTAGGGATAGGGTCGAAGGTTTGGAGAGATGTTAGTAGCTGGACTTCTTATCGTTGTGGTACTCAAGTCTTGGTTGGTTTGTTTCTTGTATTTGATGCTTTTTGGGGTGTTGTTCTGGAGGGGGGGTCCAAAAACTACAACGGGCTGCAGATTTTGTATCTAGGGGGGGTAGAGACAACAACATCTTTTGAGGGGGGGTCCAAGAAAACAACAACGGGGCTGCAGCTTTTGTCTCTAGGATGTGGTAGAGGTTCTAAGTAGAAGTTTTACAACAACTAACAACAACAACAACTACTACTACTACCACTACTACTACTACTACTACTACTTCTACTACTTCTACTACTACTACTACTTCTACTACTGCTACTACTACTTCTGTTATTACTACTGCTACTACTATTACTACTTCTACTTCTACTTCTACTACTAGTTTTACTAGGCCACTACTACTTCTACTACTTCTACTTCTGCTACTACTACTTCTATTACTATTACTGCTACGACAACGACTACTACTACTACTACTACGACTTCTACCACAACAACAACTACTACTAGTAGTATTACTACTACGACCACTACTACTACTACTACCACTACAACAACAGTTGCTACTGCTACTACTACTACTACTACAACGACTGCGACTAGTACTAGTACCACTAGTACTAGCACTAGTACAAGCAAGTACAAGCACTACCACGACTGGTAAAAGTACATGTTAACCGGTTGTTTTGGGGGGTCAAAAAACAATGACGGGGCTGCAGATTTTGTTTCCACCCCCTTGTAGAGACAAAGGAACAAGATAACGGGGCTGCAGTTGTTGTTTGTACTTTGTTGTTGTTGTTGTGGTACTCTCAGTGCAAAATCATGCAAAATCATGCAAAACCCTACCAAGCGACCTTCGTGGATCAACACAAACCATGCTTCCTGACCAAGTTTGTCTAAGCCTGGCCTAAGCACATTTATATAGCTGGGAGTCCACCCAACAATTTGGTGTGTGTCTTGAATCACCAGGGTTCCTGGATCTACCCTGAGCAACCAGCAAGCATGCGGCTTTGTTCGGTTTCCTACATTTTGAGCGTTTTGAGGCCAAAAGTAGATAGAAGCTACTGTCACCCCACCAATTGGTTGGTTTCTCCCCAGTCGATGAACCCCAGCTGACCCTTTGGTGCAGCCGGACCTTGCCAGGTCCTTCATCTCTTCAGGAAAGCTGACCTGCAAGATTGACAAAGCCGAAACCTCAATTACGTGCTTTCAGGAACTGCAATTGTCCATATCTCCTGAGCAAGAAAGATCCAACTGCAACAAATTTTATATAGTCCCGCTAGTCAAGTCATCCCTTGTTCCACGAGACTTGAATGCGAGGTTGTCCGTGCTATTTTGTGAGGACGATTGTTGTTTGTTGCTTTGGGAGAGGCTGTTTGTTCCTCTTTTTCCTCAACCTTTTTCTCATTTGACTCACGAAGTGGATCTTGTGGCAAAAAGAGTTCCCACGGGTCTCCATCTTGACGCATGTTTGGAGATCCGTGCGGGCTGCACATGTTCATGATTTGCGGGCATTGGCTTCGGCGTGGGGAGATGCAGCGGTTTCGCGGTGGATTCATGTGGATTCATCGCAGACGTGAAGTGAAGTAGGTGGACCCTCAGAACTGGGCTCTTTCATCCTGACTGCAAACATGTGAGCTGGCTCAGGTCGCCGGGGTGGTGGAATCCAATGAAGCGGATGCACGGAGTCAGGCGCCAGCGTTCCAGACCAGCGGACGCGGGGGGTGGCATGAGGATTTGACAGATCTTGGCTGAAAGAGACATCCTACACAGAAAGCCTTGTTGCTTCCAGTGCTTTGGAGAATTCTCAAATTCAATGAAGGATTCCTTCAACAGTGGGTGGTGCTGTTTGTGTTTTTCCTAAGAGAAGATGGTGGGGTGATGAAGGAGATGATCATAGCACACCTTGCTGCAGAGGACAAGGTGCACTCAATCACGTAGACATTGCAAATTTTGTATACAGGCACATGCACGAACTCTTTAAGAGTTGTTTGCGTCAGAGGCTCACGAAGCCAATATCAAAGCTGAAGGGGAGTGAGGTTTCTCGCAGGAATCCGAGGCTAAGACAATCCATCCTTCTCTCCCCACCCACTCACTAGAAAGTTATATACTATCCCGGACTTCACAAAAGTTACAAAATGGATCAACATGGACTGTTTCATGACCGAGGCTTGGATGAATGTGGACCATGGTATCACACGTTGAATCCAGGTGTCGTTCTCCTCCACAACACAACCCACAAACAAATACGTGCTTCTCTGGGTGATGTGCACCCTTCAACGTTTCAATGTTGACACACTGCCTAGTTGTTTCTTTGCAAGATGACCTGTCTAGCTAGATATGTTTGATCTGGTAGAGGGTATAGCATATGTTTGTCCCCGCCGAAGTCCTCAGCTTTTGAGATCTAAAGTCTCCACTGAAAGGTCTATGTGGAGATCATCAAGCAGGGCGACCTTCTGTCTTGTCCTCGGCGCGGCACGTCGCTTTTCCGAGCGATCAGTGCAGTTTTGCCGGCCGTGAGAGTCTGTACTTGAATCAGTGCTAGAAGCCGGTGATTTGTCGGAGTTCTGATTTGTTGGAACACGGGAGTTGGAATGAATGCAGTTTGCAAGTTGCGCTGTGTTGGGCGTTTTGGATGATTTTTGTAAGCACCTGGTGTAGGTGTAAGCCAGGAAAGATGGGTTGGTGAGAGGCTTCATCGTGGAAAATAATATGGCTTGAAATCCTTCTTTTGATTGATTGCCCACACCAACCCACACCTATCGAAATCCTCCAGGTATTGGCACAAACTGTGACTTGAGGCTCAATAAGATGCAGAAGCTCTCGGGTGCTATTGACATGTGAGCCGCGTGTGCGACGTGACTCTGGCCTTGAAAATTCCATGAATGGCTCAGCAGATGGATTGGAGATGCCCCAAGGATCTCCAGGGTTGCCGCAAAGAATTAGTCACTAGTCGCCTAGTCGCACAGATAGTCGTGCATTGGAATTACACTCACCAGCTTTATCGAAGGTGAAACTGATCCTGAAACTCATCGAGGCAGTTCGGATGATCCCGCCACGACTGGTCCCAACGACTCATCTCGGTGCCTTTGCTGTGATCCGGCACCTAGATGCTTCCGCTTGTTCTCTCAAGCTCAAAAAGACAAGAAAAGACAAGAACACCTATGAATAAAGAGAGTATGACAGTTCTTCACAATCATGAGGCGTTGAATTATTGAAGGCACGACAGCAACGAGGGCAAGCTGAAGTAGAATTCTGAGCCACGTTACGTAAGCACAAGAATGAAGCTAGATGACTCTACAGTTAAAACATGTTTAAACCAAGGCCTGGGACCAACACTTGATCGTCGTCAACCACCGATCTGATATGAGCATGTTCTTGTTTTGTCGCACCAAGTGGCAGTTGCCCACGAGCACTTGGCATCAGCATGTCATGGGCTCTGGGTCCTCAGCCGAGAAATACAAAGGCCCCGTTCGAATCGAAGCGGCTCGATCGCGTGCTTCGCCGCTTGGTCGGAGCTTGAGCTTGAAGATGGCGTTTGCTGGTGTAGCTGAAGAGTGTGTTGTTTCATGTGTTTTCCAGGTTTTGCCATATTGTTCACCAATGCATGCTGGTGTGATATGCGTTTGGCAATAGTATGCCCAGCATTGCAGTAAGGCGTGCAGGAGCGGTTTTTTGTAGCTCAGCATGTGCAGGCTCATGTCGTGTCAGCAATGGCCATATCGCAGTTCACATTGCAACATGGGTTTACAGCCCCTACATCATCGGCATCATTAGGTTTTAGTTCTCACATAGGGAGCTGTAGATTACAGTGGTTCAACCACAGTGCTGTGGGTTCAAAAGAAATTGCCTTTGCCTTGGTGTGTACTGATGCCCTGCCATGGCAGTTGATGGGCAATGCCGTCTGACCTGATTGGGTTGAAGGAAGGCGAAAAAGATGACACTCCCGACAAATGTGTTGGACTTGGTCAAGGAGTTGGTGGAAATCTTGCCAGGAGCTGTTTGGGCCTACAAACTACCACCAAGGATACCAGAGGAGGTGCAGCAGGTGCCAAGGAGGAGAAGAAAACCGAGGCTTTGATCTCTGAGAGGCAAATCGCTGAGTTCTCCCCTGCCAGCCCACGTTCAGCCCTCACAGGTGCCATGTTGAGCTACTCTGAGCCCAAGGGGATGTGGTTCAGTCTGCTCTTGAACGACATGGGTCCTGTTCCCTCTGAAGACCTGGAGAAGGTCTCCACTCATCGGTGGACCTTCCAGGGCGCCTCCGAGTTGGCCACGCAGGGGAAGAGCATTTGCTACTTCATCCTGTGCTTGCTTGAAATCCAAAGGAACATCCAGCTGGACCAGGACGAGGTGCTCAATGCCAGCCTTCTTGAAGCATGTAAAACTTTTGTCCGGTGTCAATGCAGAGAAGGTAAGACCAGCGAGATGTACCAGGTTCTGACACACTTCATCAGTAATTCTCACGTGTTCTTTGAATGGGAAAAGTTCCTCCTCGACATTTTCCAAGATTCACGTGCGCACCAAGAGCGTTTCATCGTCATGCACTTGGAGCAAGTGTGGTCCAGATACAAAAGACTGACAAACATTTTGGAGAGCATGTTCGATTATTTGGACGACACCTTCGCATGGCGCCATCGTTTACCCAAGGTGGGTGAACTGCTTCGAGATCACATGAAGAGGAGGTGTTTTTCCTCTCCGCTGGTCACCAAGAATGAGCTCTTTACCTCACAGGCAGTACGAGATGAGACCCTGAAACAGGTGAGATTCGCCATGGGTTTTGTGCTGTAGACCGTAGAGGGAACGGAGGGACACCGCAGCTGGCCAAGCCACTGTGAGCAACGTTCGGAAGCCGGAAAAGGAGCCGACCCGGTGACCCGGATTGACTGTGAGGTACCACATGGTGCCGACCCCACAACACGCACACACAGAGGTCCCGACAGCGAAAATACTAGACAACCCTCTCCAGGAGGATTGGCGCTGAGGGTGAGCAGGTCACCTTTTGAAGTCAGTTTTGTGGCCACGGTTCAAGGTCCGGTACTGTTGCAGACAAACAGGAAGAAGAGGTTCATCGTTTTATTCACAGGTGCTGTTGTGCGGATACATAACCCTTAGATTGTGCAACATAGAGCAGCTGCATTTGTTTGCTTTTGCAACTTGAAAGAGGAAATAGAAACTAGCACTCGAAACGTAAAGCAAGTCAACATCCTCCAGAGAAGATCACAGCTGTCGCACCAACTGAGCTTTCTGAAGGACATCCTTTTGACCCATGGCCCATTGTATATAATTGTATATAATATATATATATATTATTGTTATACTGCAGTGAACGAATCTTGATGATCACCCAATGCGTGCGCCTGGATGTTGGCTTTTGGAGTTTCCATGGTGGGCCTTTAGATGCGAGTGAAACTCGGCACCGCAGGAGCGCAGCTGGAGGTGCCTGCAGCCCATGTGGTCACCGTCAAGCCACGGCAGCTGCTCGGACTTGGGGGTGAAACTGGCGAGCGTGGGGTTCTTGAAGTTAGTGGATCATATTGTGTAGAGAAACGGTTTAAGATGTATTTCAAGACATCAATAGATTATGTATACAATTATGATCAATTATGTATAATACAATATGTTTGGGATCAAGTCATGAAAGTCCTTCCATGTCCTTGCTATAGAGTTGTTTGTAATGTTCATTGAGGCCAAAACAACGGCCATGAAATGGGTGATGAAACAACGCATCCGAGCGCATCGTCAACCTTCCGGGATGACCTTCTTGCATTCTGAGTTCCAAGAAACGTATTGGGCATCTTGATGACAGAGCTCTGAGATACAAACGATTGCACTAAGTATTTGGCAGCCACTTTGCAAGTCAACATGTTTTGTTTTGGATCTACACCCAAGCAAAGCTTCAAGGTGGTGGTCACTGAGTGACCACAGCTGGAAAACTGGATGGAAGAGAGCGCTTTGGAGTCTATGACAGTATTGATTGATAGAATTCTTGGAAGGGATCCCAGGGTCTTTGCGATCAGATTGTGAAAGAAATTGACCTTGACTAGTCTGGGTAGAAAACAACCTAGGTGTAGTAAGCCTAGTAGTAGTGGGCGACAACATCCGAGGGTTTAGACAGAGTTCTTAGATGTTCTTAGGGATGTGATGATCTGTTGATATCAACAGAGCTTGTTGCCGCTTCCCTGAGCTTCTGTGAAACATTCGAACAGATGTCCTTGATGTATGCAAACAGACCATATGGACATCATAGACCCACCGCAGTTCCTCCGGGACCCAAACTCCTTTCTTCGTTTCGCCGAGCCACTCAGGTCGCTGGACATCTCGGCCATCCGTTCCGATGAGGCGGGGAGAACGGCTGCTCTACGCAAGCTTTGGGAAGAAGCCGCTGAAGCCGCTGAAGCTGCTGGTTTTTAATTCCTTTTTTTTGTTCATACCCGCACTGCCTAAGATAGTAAGGCTGTGCCACTAGCGGACTTAGACATCTCGTCGCGCCATTTGTTCATTTCTTGGTCATTGTTTTCACCTAGTCATGCCATTCCTGCCATGCCAAGAGCCTCTAGCGTGAGTTCAGCCGAACGACCGCTACAACACTGCCTGACCTTTGACCCAACATTGGTCACCCGGCAGGTCAAGAAAAACACGGCCTTCACTCTTCATTTGGTTCAGGCTACAGGGTTGATTCAAACATATTCAACCAATTTCAACCATATGCATCTTTGCGGTGAACCTTCTGTTGATCCTTCTCGTCTTCCAAAGCGACCCATCCTTCCGCTCTCCGAAACCCTTCAGATCAGATGAAGACTCGAGCAGTCAGACCCGAGAGTGCGGAAACGACAGACAACCCATCAGGCGACAGCAAGTGGACTCTCCTTTCAGGAGGAGGAGATGCTGAGGGATCCGAACATCTGCACAGCCCAATGAAAGATTAGCAAAAAAAACATACTGTACATAATATTAATCATATTTGTATGCAATATTATGCAACATTTTGTAATAATCTTCATGTTGCTCCGAGGCGCGCCCCCACCAGGATAGTATCAGCATGGTGTGTCGGATTGATTAATTGATTCATATGTGATGGAAAACCTTCTGGACCATGTTACTCTTGTATGGAGGTTTGCAAGGACCTAGGAGGAGGGCAAGAATCACGTCCAGCAAACAATGCTTTCAGCAGCAGGCAAATAGTTCTGGTTGTTCCAGCATGACAACCTGACCTGGTTGTTCTAGCATGCAGCTTAGGACTGCTGCCTGTGCAAAAGGAGTGTCCCAGTTCCTGGCCAGTTTGGTTTGGATTGCGCTGTCAAGTACTACTTCACATCAGCTTGAACACACTGCAAAACGATATTCAGCTTTCATCGCTTGATGGCGTGGTCCTGGACAAGCTGAGAAGGCGGACTTTCGGGATGTGGGGTCCAATGGATACAGCCTTCTTTCAGTTCATCTGGGCAACCCAAGAACAGTCCCAAGGACCTCCAGGGCCTGCGCATCCCACTCGGGAAGCAGTGGCAATTGACGGCAACTGAGGATTTAAAGCTTGAAAGGTTGTGCGCTGAAGCCCTCCCATAAGGCCCTCGGTCTTCTGGCTACAACAGCTTGTTTAACCAGGCCACCAAGTCGTTGTATTTTGAGGTCTCCAACCAAAAGGGTTTCAAAAACCAGGCGCCAGAACCCCATACAGGCACCAACTCATTTCTGCAAGCTTTTGCCGGAACTGGAACGGTGGATCATTCGAGCGGATCCATGGGCTTCGGTGAGAACGGCTCTGGACCGGCGTTTAGGATTTGGATCCTTTCAGGGTGTGCCCGGAAGCCCTCGGTGGACCCTAGCTTCGATTGCCTGCTTTGCTCACTAAACTAGTTCATAAGCTAAAAAGCAACAAACTAACTACCTACCTCACGAACTACTAACTAACATCTACTAACTACCGAAGCTCGACCTAACCAAACCTAAAAGCTAATCAGTTTTAAACAACCTCACTAAAGCAAAAATCTAAACAGCAATAGCAAACCTTAACATGCTTTGTCCAACTGACTAAATTCAGTAATTCAGTCTCGACCAAGCTACTGGTAGTATATAATTAGCACAATAACTTTACCAAACCTCACTAGCGTAACTTCATCAAACTATATAACTTAGCTATGAACTGTTTCCCCGGACGTATCTAGTTTATTTGTAGGTAGCCGAACAGAAAGAAACAAAAATAAATGAAGGCATTTGAAGGCTACCATTTTCAGAAGTTGATCAGTGCGCGGACGATGGACCAGGTTTGGCTTTCTTTGGTTGCATCAGTTCGCAGTTAGCAGAAACACATGACAAGTGTTGTTGCCTTTGTGTCACTTCTGTGGCTTGGCTTTGGCAACAAGGCCTTCCAGGTACGGCTTACCCAGCTTTGCAGGCTTACCCAGAGCAAGCGGAAGGCCTTCCACGGAGCCGACCGGCTCCACAAGTTGGACCAAAAGACCGTAGGGCATGGTGGCCCAAGCTGCAGCTGTGGCACGAGACGCAAAGAAGAGACGCTTCGTGGGCGGCGTTTAAGACGGAAGGCTCAAGAGGCTGCTGCTTCGGCCAACCTGCTACATCCACAGACCTTCAGGGAAACTGATCAGATCCATTCACAGTCCCTCTCGTATTGGCTTAGTGACTTAGTGGCACAAGAACATGGCCGTGACTTGCCAAAAGTGGGACGGTACTACAACACGAGTTTGCTACGTGTCAGCACCTTGGGTGGGGCGGATGTACATTATTAATTCTTGTTTTTGGTCAGATGTGTTTCTGTCAGTATATGCTTTCTGCTGGTAGAGAGTGCACCTACCGTGAGCCAACTTGCCAGCATCTTTAGGACGAACTGAAGCTACAAAACAACTTTGGGGCTGCAAGGCACCACAACATGGTAGTCAATGAGGGATGCAGACAATGTCTTGACATATGAGACGCAAACTGAAGATGGACGATTAAAATTGAACGTTTGATACACTTTATGTTATATGCTCGATGTTTGTGAGAGCCAAAGTGTTTAGACCGGTGAACGTGGCAGGAGAGGCGGTGGAGTCACCAAAGTGAGGAGAAAATGCCAGGTTTTCAGGCCGGTTCCGCCCTGGCTGGGGTCGCTGGGCTCAAGGTCAGTGAGGTTTGGTGGGCAAATTTGAACAAAATGAACTTATGACTTACAGATTTGAAGCCAGCCAATCCATGGGTTGTCGGACTTCAATCATTCACTACAGAAGAAGTGGGGCTAACAAGTTTTAGAGGCATCGTGCTTTATATATACCTCTTGCAAAAATGTATTCGCAGAGGTTGAACAAATCCACAGAAATAACCTGGTTTTGTTCGGTCTTTTATATATACCTCCCGTACCACCTGCAGGCGCCCCAGATCGAGACGGAGGACGTCGAATCCTCGGACGCAGGCGTGGACAGTGACAAATCGGTCGAGGAAAGAGTTGCGGCATGGGAGACTGACACGAATCGGACGAATTCAAGGCAGAAAGTGCATATGTTGTTTGTTTGTTTGTTTGTTTGTCTTTGTTTGTTTGTTTGTGCATGTATCCTGATAGCATGATATATCATGTTTGTGTATGAGGATCGGATCGGTCTTTTAAAATGTGTTTCCGGTTATATAATGATATGTATATATATTAGATTTATATATGTGTTTATTGAATTTGGCCACAGTCATGTATCTCATCTCGGAAAACCTGTTTCATGTACTACTTGGTATAGTGACCCCGCATAGGAAATCTTAAGAAAGACGTGGATTCCATTCTCTTTTTGGTCAAGGCATTTTTTTCAATGTTCCGTCTAGACGACCAGAACGGACGATCTGTGATTCCTTCTTTCTGTCGCTCACGAACCACGCCAGGCCCATCGCCGGTGCCCCGAGGAGGCGTCATGGTGGAGGAGTGAAGCAGTACTTCGTGGAATCCTTGATCTCATAGTAAAGAAGGGCAAGCTAATTTACACTCTCGAATCAACCAACCAATCAGTCAATCAGGGTTTGTTTCCAGAATCCTCTTAGGAGCACTACCAACTGGATGTCCTCAGACTTCTACGTGATGGTGATATTCAACCTTAGTTTGGTTCCCGACATGTCATAGATGGATTCAAAAGCAGGATATGAACAGGAAAACACCAGTTTTTTGAAATCAGAGAATTTAAGACTCGATTTTGGGTCTTGTGACATCCCGTAACTTGCGTGTCACATCGACTTGGGCTCATCCAAAAGGTTCGCCGGGATGCTCAGGTGGCCGAGCCGTTTCGCCAGGTCCTCCGATTTCCATACAGGGCACAGGCACGTCGAACAGAGGGAAGCTGCGGGGACGCGTCGGGGACGCTGGCATCGGTGCGCCGATTTGTACTCAGTATGGAGACAGACGCCTTGTGTCCTCATTTGGCCTTTGATATAGAAATTGAATGAAATTGATAGAAATATATAGAAATTGAAATGGTAGAACCATGTAACGTAGCACCTATTGACTACTCATTCTGGATTCATTTATATACTTGATTCCGATAGGTACCTGCCCGACTGGATGTAATCCGCTAGATGCGGCTAGATGCTGATTCCTCGTGTAGCTTTTCCACCAGACAACTCACAAGGTTCTACACGACGAAGGCGTAAAGATGATGACCGTCTTGACATAGCCAGGGGCATCACCTATCTTGATAGCGACAAAGTCGCAAAAAGGCACGAAGCTTCGCGGGAAATGACCAAGAGGTCATAAAAAGATCAGGAAACATTTTCCCACCGAAGATCAGGCAACTCACAAGGTTCTACAGTACCCCATACCGCGTTTTTATGGGATTAGGAGAATGAGTTGCGTAGAAACGAAGGTGTGGCTGTGAGCGTTTTCTGAGTGTGGAGTTGGAGTATTGACCAGCACGCCCTTCGCACGCATGCTCGCACGCATGTTCAGGCACAACTACTCCTCTAGCCAAACCTGAAGCAGGCCAAATCTGGTGAACAGGGACATGTGCAAAATCCTGGAGACACCAATATGAAATGTGTTCCAGTCAATGGCAAATCCACTGCTTCCGGGTTCGAACGGCTGCTCCCATCCAACGTCTCAATCTCGATCCTTGTCACCTCTAAACACATGGAGCCGGGCTGTGTCAAACAGAGGAATGCCCCTTTCCAAGTACAGAAAGGGTGCTAGTATCTCTCAAATTCGACATCTCTATCAACGAATGGAATCACCAAGGAACAGTGGATGTGATTGTCTAAAAAGTGGGCGGTGTGGTTATTCTGAGGATACATTTCGCCCCGTCCCAAATGTTTGCTTGAGTAAAAGACAGCAACACTAAGACCCATTCTTCACGAGATCCGCTGCAACTTCTGACGCTGACGCAGTTTCTTTGCAGCTTCTCCCCAAAAGTGCACAGTTTTTTTGGAAGGCGGTGTGCTGATGTTTGCACCTCTAAATGTTTAAAGCTAGTAACGTAGGGCAAGCAGCTACTTTCCGCTCAAGATCCACTGAACGCCCAGGCCACGGTGGCCCTGAAACTGTTCACTTGAACAGAGCAGGATCAACATCAGGTGACCATCCCGCTGACGATCGTTGGAGACGAGCTAGATGGTACGGAGATGATGCGGGCATAAGACGCCGCTGATGTGTTCTACCTTTGTTGAAGTGAAAATGATAGGCGCTGTGTTTGGTGTTTTGCTGTTGGAGGAAATCCGAACTGTTAGGTGATTCCCTGGGATGAGAAGTGTCGCAGCGCACAGGTACCGGGAGTGCTTCGCTCGGAAGATCACGAGGGGAAGACCAGATTGGTGTCAGCCACAGAAGAAGAACCGAAGACTGGAATGAACTCAAAGATTCTCAAAAGACTCTTATAGTACACACATCTATTATAGAACCCGGAACCCTGCTACGGGAGGAATATGCAGCCTTCTATTAGAAAATGTGTTTTGATATCTTCTATAATAGTTTCCCGTACTGTAAGACTCGAAGATTCTGCCAAATCGAAATCTCGATGCATCTCGATGCAGAGATAAGAAGAGTTCTTGCACTGCGCAAGCGCAAGCCGCGTTGTAACGGTGCATGACGACCATTTTAACACGAATCGCGTTTTTCTTTGGAACTTGGAGGCTGGAAGTTCATATATGGTCCTTCTCTTGAATGAACTGTTGTGAACATGGTTCAATTTGTGTTAAACCGGTTGCCCAGACACCAAGGCACGGTCCCAATGTAGAAACTCTCGACTTCAAACCAGCCCATGCGAGCCCAGCTCGTGTCGGTTCGACTTGAGGCGAGAAAGGTGGACTCTCTGTTGGCCAGAGCGCGGGGTGCTGAGTTTTGTACGATCACACCCAAATCCAAATGGGAGTCGTTCTAAAAAGCACATATATAACAAAATTTAGTAGACGATTATGTTTATTGATAGTAGGTAGTCTAAAACATTCGAAAAACCTGCATCGCGCAAGGTTCGCGCAAGGCCGGCACAAGGTTTTGCGCATGGACTACTTACTAGTTACCCGAATTTCTACGAAAACTGTTGTTACTAGCTTGTGCTTTGTGGAGTGAAACCGAGATTTGTGAGGTCTTAAACGCTTTCAGGCTTCAAGTATGCTTCATAATGTTTTAGCCATATGCTTCGGAATGTGGCCAAAACAGGATCGAAATCCGCGCAAGGTTCGTGCAAGGTTCGCGCAAGATCCGCGCAAGCCCGAATGTATGTAGAACTGGACTGGCCATGTCGACTTCTTTGAGCCAGCTGTTTCGGCATAGTGTTTGAAAAAAGAAGAGAAGCTGCAATGCAGCAAACAAACACACACACTAAGGTCGAGAAATGGGTCGCTAGCCCCCTGCCCTGTGGTTTGTAAACTCTCCGCCTGTGACAGCGGTTTACATACACATACACACCCACGAAAACTGGTAAACAAACACTTTATTTGAATAGAACATGTAGTTTTACTGTGTTCGCGCAAGATTCGCCCAAGGCTGGCGCAAGGATAGTTGTCTGGAAAAGGTATTTTGAACAACCCCCAAATGTGTTGTTCTAAGCAATTAGTTGCCTTCGGCGCGATCTGGGAACATTTGCCCTGGCAAAGGGGGCTCATGGTGAACGGGCCCTTTTTGGTGGAAGACACAATTGGAAGCATCGAGTGAGTGGCGCTGGCGCCTGACCTCGGCGCCATTAAATGATCCGCTGCGCAGGCTTTGCACATCCTTCAAAGGGAGAGACCCTGAAAGCAAACTCAAACATGACTTGCAATCCATGGTGGCGTAAAGTGGAACGCATTAATTAAATCCGTCAAATCCTTTTGATCTCCTGCAATGCCCCCCCATGTCAATGGCAAGCTGCATGTGGCACATGGTAGTACATGGTGGCACCATCTTCAGAGAGGATGCACTCAAATGCATTCTGCAAAAGCAAACGCAAGCGTTTTCTTGGCATCAAACGGGCTTCACAGGTCTCTTCCTCTATTACGTTGGAAGCCATTGCTATTAGGTTGGAGGCGATCACTGCTCGGGTGGAGGCCATTGCTCTTTAAGGTTGGAGGCCATCGCTATTAGGTTTCTTCCCGTCCTTTCTTTTTTCGGCGCGCTGCGCGCACCGAGGTGTGGGTCACTGGGTTGCGGAGCTCGACAGAGCTCAACGAGCTGGAGGCGTTTGGAGCCACCCACGGGACCAGTGCGGCAGATGTTCTGGGTGTAGATTGCTGGTGGCCATCTGACCGCAGGGTGACGCTTTATGATCGATTCCTTTTGTGTAGCGAGTTATTGGGGTTCTTACTTTAAGTATAGGAAGAGGTGTGTGTGTGTGCTTTGGAGCTTGGGTGCTGGTGCTGCTGCCAGATGTGCATGGCCGTGTGCGCTTTGGAGACTGCGTGCTTCTGCCGCTGCAGGGAGCTGCGGTGTGCTGCTGCAGGGTGCCACTGCCAGACGTTTATGGCAGTGTGCGCTTTGCCCAGAAATGATTTGGGGTCCATGATAGGCATAATTTTCCAAATGAAACGTGGCCACAGTACGTGTCATTAGACTGAGTATGACTGAGTTCAATGATTCTTTGATGATTATTGTGACCGTATGTGCTGGACATTGCTGGACAACCTTGCGTTCTCTATTTTCGGGGCTATGATCCCAACTGTTGCCGTTGCTGATGTTTCCTGCTGGCATGACAGGGTCTAATAAGGGTTTAGGCCAAAGTGTAGGACCGGTTCGGATTTCTCCTTCCAGTGTTAAGAGGATACTGTACACAGCTGTAATCCACAGAACGCTTGCGCTACTGCTGCTTAGTCGTTGAACTCGGCATAGCGTTGGGGCTCTTCAGGGCAATCGCCCAACCAAGGTGATTGCAACTTTGTTGTGGACCATTGGTGAGCCCTTTTGACTAATCAATTGGTAAACCTACAGTTACAGGTACATTTAGATTCTAAGTCTTTTTCAGCAGGCCAAAGATGACCAATGCACACGCGGGAGCTTTTCTGGATGTGTTAGTCCGTGATCCTTTGCATAAGGCCCAAAGAACATTCACATGCTGCGTTCCCAGTTGGACCTCTGGAATTTAAACAACGCATGGAAAAATCCACGTTTCTTGCCTAACTTTGTATGCCAAAGTGTGCAACGCTGCATTCAGGAGCTACAAAGTGATCCTGTCAAAACACTTTGGTTTTGCACATCTCGCCAGCTCCAAAGATTTGAGCATGGCGCCTGCACGGAGAAAGATGAGAAACACTGCCTCCTGTGCCGTCCTCGCTGTGATACTTGGTGTGACATGCAGACAGACAACGTTTACAACAACCTCACAGAGGTCGAGATTCTTGGATTTGCATCTTACTGCGCAAAGCCGGTGCTTTTTCTTCATGACTGTGGCCGAGAGTGCTCACAACATGTTTGTGTGGTCCTTTTTGCAAGAACCTTTGAGCCGCCACTGAAATGTTGAGAAAGCACGCGCACGCACGTACACTTAAGATTATGCGTGCTGACTCGAATGCCGCTCGCCGCACGGCAACCTAGGTACGGCAACCTAGGTAGCCAAGTGCCTAAGGGTTCAGGTGAGTTACAAAACTGAATGACTCCACGAAACCTTCAATGCCTCCAGAGCAAAACCGAAATGACTTGCCGCAAAAACACGATCTGCAGAAACAATGTATTGGACAGCTTTTGCTATACTTAGGTTCTCAAAAGCAGGTGCACCAGGTTGATCAGACCTGGCTTCCACCATCACGCACAGCTTCGTTGGCATGCGTTTGCGCGATGGCCGCATGCCCCCTGCTGAAAAAGGAATCAATCCAAAAGGAACCTTGTGACTCCAAAGGTAACACACACACACACATGCCTCCCCGAAGGGAGGCGTTCCTTTTCAATTAAGCTCCGGACAAGGGTAAGGTTGGGTGAAAATTGAACCTACAAGCAGGAGATGGTGGCATGGCGAGAGGAGTGGGGATAGTTTGGGAAGGAATTCACTCTAAGGTCCCGACACACTCCAACGAGTCTTCAACAAGCTTCGGCCGCCAAAATGGCTGGCAGCTTTGACCGCTGTGGTCACGCAAAGGCATAAGCCAGCTTAGAAATCAATACCTCGGCAAGTCTTGGCAAATAACTTTGGCCTAAGCCTACTTTGTCCGCTGCGGACTACTCTGCTCCCGGGTGCAGGGGACAAAGACAACCCCCGTTCAACGGGTCCACAGGGGCCACTCTGCGGAGTCACCCGGGGCTGGCATGAAGCCAACCACACTTAAGATTATGCGTACTGACTCGACTGCCGCTCGCCACACGGCAACCTAGGTAACCAAGTGCCTAAGGGTTCAGGTGAGTTACAAAACTGAATGACCCCACGAAACCTCCAATGCCTCCAGAGCAAAACCGAAATGACTTGCCGCTGCGTTAGCCCTTTAATCGCAAAGACACTAAGTGCAGAAACAACGTATTGGACAGCTTTTGCTTTATGGTATGCTTTTGCGTGATGGCCGCATGCCCCCTGCTGAAAAAGGAAGCAATCCAGAAGGAACCTTGTGACTCCAAAGGTTACACACTTATGATTATGCGCACTGAACTGAAAGCAGTGCCACGCGCCTGCCTAGGTTACCATTTCCTAAGGGTACAGGTAAGGAAACCTGAAAAGGAAGTGGAGGTCCAGCAAGTTCAGCGTGGCCATCAAATCTAAAGGAAACCATCGAACGATCGATCGACAAGATGACGTCGTCCGCTCACATTTGCAAGTCGAAAACCAAAGCCCGGTGCGTGACTGCCGAGAGCAAACCGATGCAAAGGCTGGACAAGAACGGGACCAATTAGGAATACGCATCGGATGATCAGTCCGTGCTTCCCACTCCGTGGCATAGCTTCGTTGCACTGAGTATGCCCCTGCTGAAAAACAAAAGAAACTAGAAAGAAAACAAAGACAATCCGAGTGGATCCCTGTGACTACAAGGGGCACACACACACACACACACACGCCTCCCCAAGGGGAGGCCACTCTTAGGTCCCGACAGGAGGGAGGGTAGGGAGAGAAGGGAAGAAAGAAAAAGAAGAAAGGAAAGGAAAAGAAGGTGTTCCCAGCTACGACACAAGCGTCCAAGGACACAGAAGTCCCAGCTACGCGCAAGCGTCCAGGGACACACCAAGGAGAGGGGTATACCTGAGTGTTACATTCAGGAAAACTCCGGAGGGCAGGGGGAGGAAGGGGACTAAGGTCCCGACAGGTTCCAATGAACCTTGAGCAAGCTTTGGTCGCTGCGACCACGCACGGCCTGCCCGAGGGCTGCCACCTTTGACCGCTGCGGTCACGTAACGGCATGAGCCAGCTTGGAATGCAAGAATCCGTCAAGTCGTAGCAAATAACTTTGGCATAAGCCTCCTGCTGTCCGCTTTGGACACCTACGTTCCCGGCCAGGGGGAAGAATGGACTAGCACCCGTTCAACGGGTCCACAGGGGCCACTCCGCGGAGTCACCCGGGGCTGGCATGAAGCCAATTAACCTCCAATGCCTCCAGAGCAAAACCGAAATGACTTGCCACTGCGTTAGCCCTTTAATCGCAAAGACACTAAGTGCAGAAACAACGTATTGGACAGCTTTTGCTTTACTTAGGTTCGATTCTCAAAAGCAGGTACACCAGGTTGGTCAGACCTGGCTTCCACCATCACGCATAGCTTCGTTGGCATGCGTTTGCGCGATGGCCGCATGCCCCCTGCTGAAAAAGGAAGCAATCCAGAAGGAACCTTGTGACTCCAAAGGTTACACACTTATGACTATGCGTACTGAACTGAAAGCAGTGCCACACGCCGGCCTAGGTTACCATTTCCTAAGGGTACAGGTAAGGAAACCTGAAAAGGAAGTGGAGGTCCAGCAAGTTCAGCGTGGCCATCAAATCTAAAGGAAACCATCGAACGATCGATCGACAAGATGACGTCGTCCGCTCACATTTGCAAGTCGAAAACCAAAGCCCGGTGCGTGACTGCCGAGAGCAAACCGATGCAAAGGCTGGACAGCTTGTTCTAGTTAAGAACGGGGCCAATTAGGAATTGTTCCGGTAAAGCTGCAGGTACACACGGATGATCAGTCCGTGCTTCCCACTCCAAGGCATAGTTTCGTTGCACTGAGTTTGCCAAGGAGTGCTCAGTGCCCTGCTGAAAAACAAAAGAAACTAGAAAGAAAACAAAAACAATCCGAGTGGATCCCTGTGACTACAAGGGGCACACACACAAGAGATGTTGTTGGGCCTCTTTTGGTATCTCAGAACTGCTGGTGGTCCTGGACTTGGATGAGACTCTTTTGCATGCATCTTTGTGCAAAGATGAATCGATGAGTTGGTTACCTCCACGGTTTTGGCAGCCCAAGATTGACTTCGAAGCGACTGGCAAGGGCCTTGTGGTAGATCTTGGCGAGGAGGTGCATGCTCGAGACATATGAAGAGTCCCCGGGTCCCCAGTTTAGATTCAAATCTTGATCTACGGTCATTTTGCTGATTTTTGCCGATGTTGCAAGTTTGCGTCCCATCCAAACAACCGCGCCTGGTACAAAAATAGATCCACAACCTAGGGCCTAAGGTCAGCCGAATGTACAGTAGTTCATGAATGTTCATGAGACAGCCTAGAGTTGCCTAGAATCTTCCTTCAGAACCTTAACCAAATTGAACCTTAGGTGGAGGTCTAAATAGTATTTTCAAACTTAGACCTCCAACTTTCACTCTATCCCCAGACCCGGATCAGATGGATCAACAGTTCAGGTGCCGCTCTTCGTCTCATTGCGCCCGGGCGCGTTAAACTTCGTCTCCTGGCTGAAGAGCAGAGAGGACATCGACCTTGCAGTGTATACCGCAGGACCGGTGGCGTTGTGAGGTGGCATGATGCTGCAAAGATGTATGTGCACAGACTCTTCCTTCAGCATGTATGTGTGGTACAATTGTGTGCACAGATTGGGGTCATTCCATTTTCCCTACGAAGCACCGGCCAATACCGGCCAGGATTCGTTGACCAAAGCGTGGGTGCATCCATTCTTGGGGATGCTCCAGAAAGCAACCCTGAACATAGAATACAGGTGACAGATGGAGTACAGATGTGTACAGTATGGTACAGTATCCCGGGTATTTTTGAGAACTATCCTACGATTAGAGTCAACTGATGATTCTATCGCCGTGAAGAAAGGAGGGAGCAGAGTTAGCGGGTAGGACGGGATCTGACCAAGTCATGATCGACCACATTTGTCGATTCAGCGCTGTGGCGGAGGCCTCCCTGTGGCGGTCCCTGGTTTCGCTTGGGAACGATTGTACGCTTCGTTTCTATGTCCCGCTGCACCCGACCACAGGAACGGAGCCTTACGCGAAGCAAACCTTGAAGAAGTTGGGCTTGGAAGGAGAGGTCGGAGAGGTGGCTGAAGGAAGTCTTTGATGAGTTCCATCGGGAGAACATGACACCGACGCTATTTTCTATTTCGCCCCAACACCTTCAGTGCCTCAGGTCAAATAGACCGGAAACCCCATTGGCCCGAATGAATGGTTTGGCTGCCATGGTTTGTTCCCTTACCCTGCAAACATGGGTACGTGGACAGCCAGTTTGTAGAGGAAATGGCCTTTCCAGTGGCCATTGCCCACTTCATCCCACTTCAGTTGCAGGGAGTGGACAGCCCCTGGATGTGGCACAGCGTGACACCACACAACACTGCAGCCCCTGCAGGATGTCCAGCACTCTTCCGTGAGGAGTGCGTGCCTTTCGGCCTTCCCATCACCAAGGATTTGAGGACGGGCTGGAGAAAGATCATGAGACACCGAGACACCACAATCACGGTGCGAACCTGCCATGCAGAGCTTGCGAACCATAAGTGTTGGGGTTCTTTGGAAGAGTTATATAACTCTGCCCCAAAGAACATAGCGACCCACCATTTACTATAGAAAACTGTTGTATAGTGTCCTCCTCCTCAGGGGTGCTATGTTAGTGTGGGACCTGTGTGGGAGTCTAGAAATTTGAACGCTTCTGTTATGTTGTGATAACAAGGAGCAAAACCTCCATTGTTTAGTGTTCAATGTAAACAGGACCATTGTTGGTAGAAAGCATCCCATTCGGAGATCCCTAAAGCCTTCGGCGCCAATGATACCCAATAGCTTGCCACAAGTGCCATTCCCTAACAGGAAGCTGCGCGAAGACCTCACACGCGTGGTGCTGGTGGATAACTCTGCGAAATCCTTCTGGTTGCAACCAGAGAATGGGCTGCTGGTGTGCGACTGGGACGGTACCAATGCCTCCGATCAGGACCGAAGCCACTGGGAGGGAAAGTTCTTTTTGGAAGGCCTTCATGTTTGCGTGGGTGTGACTTCTAGCTACTAGTAGCAAGGTGTAGCAAGGTGCCTTACTACTAGTAACAAGAAGCCACAGTAGCAAGGTGCCTTACTAATAGTAACAAGCTACTAGTAGTAAGGGGGGTGTTGGAGTTTTTGTTCCACGAGCAGCAATATGGCTCACCCTGAAGTCCCAGCTTCAGAAGACCAACTGTTCCTGGTGTAGAGAATCAGTACCGTTGGTTGTGGAGATCCGATGACCGGATGACGGTTTGGCTGCCTCCGGAATGATTTTAACTTGATGTTGCTTGGGACAAAGGTTCTTGCGAAGACACAAACTGTATACGGCATGTCCGTATGCATGATCATGTGGGTACGCATGGCTGTACATGGCATTGCATGATACGGTATTTGGTATGAGTTGCGGATTTCAAGGTTTTCAATCAGACGATCTCTAGCAACCACCAGTCCAATACTCTGAACTTGGAGGAAGAAGCTGTACTCTCAAGTCACAGCCTCTATTCTCTTCAGGAGAGTGATTGCCCGGTCATGCCCCTGACTTTGTATACCTGCTCCACCCAGAGCTGTGGGGTCCTTTTAGGTAGTCAACTCCATGGGACTTCGGGATTCGGCACTCAAAGACTGCAGGGTCCACGAGCTGCAGGGTCCATGCCAACCCCAAACCTGGGACATCCACGAGCCCGGTCAAACCCACCAATGGTCAGGAATGCCACCCGGACCATCCCCGACTGCTGTGTGTGTAATTGAACGTGTTTGATCATTTTTGCACGGTTTTTGCTGTTATCCCTGCAGAGAGGCACTATGCACCAAAGAACACTGCCTTGTCGAGAACCAGCATTTCTCCAGGAGCTCGATCGAGTGAAAGACAACTTGCTTCAGCTCCTTGACATGGATGATGTCCGTCCCGCCCTCCGGAGAAAACCTCCGGACGCACCTGGTGATGCCGTCGACCTGCGGCTGGTCATCATTGCAGTTGCTTTGGGATGTTGGCTAGTGAGCCAATCTCAGTAAATCTGACACAACTGGAGCAGAGGAGAAGCGTGTGCCGATGAGAAGGTGTTCTGTGGTGCTCTGAAGTTCCTGGGGCGAAGGCCACCAAGTGCATTGAGCGTTTTGGCCGAAGAGAATGGCCACATGTCTGCGATGGGAGAAGCGGCTTTTGCAGCATTTGCACAATGGGAGCGGCATGGTTGGGCAAAAACACGAGTCTAAAAGTGTGGGCGGCATGGTTGGGCGGCATGGCGGCATGGATGTCGTGTGATGAATTTGTAATTCGGGGATCCCGTTGTGTAGGTAGGAATGTCCTGATGCTTCACTTGATCTTAGCATGCCTTCGCATGGAAGGAACCAGACATGCACACGTTTGCCAGTTTAATTATGCATGATGCAGTGATGCTTTGCGCATTCTGATGAAGTCAGATTCAGTAGCGACCTGAACGCCATTGTATACCATGCGACTACATTGACATGTGTCTCACACCGAAACATGATTGTGTTAATTTGGTGTTTTTTCACCTTCAGTATCGTTTTTGGGTACCCACCCGTACCATACGGTTTACCAGGGTACCTACCGGGAGGCGGTGTCAACGGCGGTTGACGCACCAGGCCCTGGTGGTGCGATGGGATCCCATTTCTGGACGCTCCTTGGCGACGAGGCTAAGCGATGAGACCAGACCGGCCAATCACTGTGAATCAGATGCGGAGACGGAGCCAAGTGTTTAGATTGAGGAGCATGTGTTTAGATTGATTGATCATTCATATTTGTGGATGTACTCAATATTGGTGGTCAAGAATCAGGGACATCCCGAAATGGATCCTGCACAAGTGAGGACTGACCAAATTCTGTGGCGTTTTGGGTTGTTATTTGATAGACAGGAAGGATCGAGAGAGAGAGAGAGAGAGAAAAAAAAAAGGAAAAGAAAACGCACACACACACACAATCATTCAGTTTCCCAAGCCACCACAGCCATCTATGTTTTGAACGAGCAAACCGAGTAATCCAGGGTGTTGGGCTATTCCACAACTCTTTGGTTCTTCAATGATTCATAGGTCGGTAGACCCCATAAACCCAGAAACTTCATCAAAACCTTCAGTGCAAGATTTCCTGGAACCAGATTGAGACCCTATCAAAATCTGTAAAATACCCAGCTGATTGGTTTCGTAGGTTTTGCTCCTTGTCCTTCTCAGGATGGGTGGTCCGCTTCAACACAGGGGTAGAAAAGCGAATCAAAGCGGCCAGGAGGACCCAGGAAGAGGTTGGAAGGGGGAGGTTGTGGGAGGGTGAAATTTCAGATCGGTATGGGCGTTTGGTTTATATATAGATATTAGGCTGAAAACACCAAGCATAAATGAATTTAAATATTCAATTGAAAGGCAGATTGGGAAAGCCACGGAATGCAGTACTTGGGGTCTGTGAGTAGTTGGATGTTCATTGTGTAGGCAGAAGTTAGAGTCGTTCTAAACCCGGAACTGCAGCTGGACTTGACACCCCTGGACCAGCTGTTGATGTCCTCACAACTCTTGAGAACGTGCAGGACAACCAATTGGTGCCTGGTGTTGTGTTAATTCACATTCGAATATGATGGACAGAGAGTGCCGAATTCTTTGGCATTGTTGCAGCGATTTTTACCTGCCCGCTGGGTGGTGCCAACTGAACAGACCAAGGCCAACCTTTGCTCCTCACCGCCTGCCTCGAGCACTGCTGAGAACAAGGACATCAACTTGGCATGTGGCCAGAGTGTGAGCGGTCCCTGCTGCCGCTTCCGAATGGTGTTCCAAGTGATCACACTGCCTAGTAGCATGCATGCATTTGCCCCGCTGGCCCAATATTCACGATGCAGTTGGCTCATTAGCATGTGGGATCATGTGGGCGTGTCAGGAGCTCGAGCAGTATATGCTGCAGACCAATTGGTCCGCCCGAATCTTAGCTTGCAGCTTTCTTTTCGGCAGTCCTGTTTTCTTTTTAATGTTGGTTGGAAGTGGAGGACTTGGTTCTTGCAGGAATGCTTGTTTCGCCAATCATGAAGGAGGGTAAACTGCATAGTGTGATGCATCCACAAGAATTTAACGGAACAGATATAGATTATAGATGAATTTAGCATAATGTAGCAATCTGTTGTTGACACTCTTCAGCCACAGGTCCACACAGAAGCTGCCCAATCCTGACCTGAACAGTGACCCACTGTCCAGTCCACAATGCTCCACTCATGTCGGGACGGGCCTTATGTGCACGACTTGTGGGGTCAATCGATAGGAGAAGAATGGAAAAGAAAGAATGATATGGAATGACAAGCCAACAAATCTATATAAATATATAAGAGGAGCATTGGAAGTGGTTGCATAATACAGCTTGGGACTGGGGAGATGTCGTGCTTCAGTGGGACCGTAAGATGTTTACACGTACCAATGACAATATACCACTCCAGAACCATGAGAAGCCCTCAGGCCTGTTGTTATGTCCTATAGATGGTGTCATTCCTCCTATGGCACCCATTCCCTGAGACTACCCTGGTCAATATTCCATTCACATAGATTTGTTGGCTTCATTGTGGGATGTTCTCGATCCATTTGATTGCCTCCCATCCGGGCATCGCGCGGTTTGCGCGGCCAGGCGATCTACCAGCTTTTTTACGACCGCTTCGGAGTGGAAGGCATAACCGATTTGTGCTCACCAGCCACCTGATTGAGAGGGGTCTGAAACTCACGAAGAAATCATGGTTCCTGGACCCTCTTTTTTTTACTGTCTTTTGGTTCACCTGCCATCGGATTCTGCCTTCTGTTCGACCGGTGCTGGTGGATACTATGCTGTTGTGGTCCATGGCATGATTGAAGGAGATGGTTGAATCACAGGTGCAACGTACTACCTTGATCCACAGTTGTAGGAGAGTTTGATTTAATGACTGTAATCATAACATAGACTCTGCCTCCAAAACTATATGTTCATTCAACCTGGAGCGTTATGGGAAGGCTATCAAAACCACGACTTGTTAAGCCCACTAAAACTTCTTGAAAGGAACTGAACAGACACCCTTGACAACATCCGTTTGACATGCATGTGGCCCTGGAAGTGCGCTCTCCAAGTAATTCGTGACTCACAGGGAAACGGCTGGCACTTCCCCTGGGTTGGCCCTCGAATGTCGGATGTGCCAGGGCTGGGCCGGATTGAAAGAGGCTTTGCGGTGAAGGCAGTCCTTTCTCGAAGAGTCGAGCCTTACGACGTGCCACGTCGGCTTCCAGCGTTTTTCGGTGCCGGGGGCCACTCGTGGCCCGTGCCACCGACGTGGAGACCCAGCGACTAAGCCATTTGGTCACAGCAACTTTTGGGAGAACTATATGACTGTAACTAACTACTGGACGTTGGGGATCCTGTTTGCGGTAGGTGGAAACCACAACAGGCGCTCAAGACAGTTTGATTTCGGAAGAGCAGAGCTGACAAAGCCACGAACCTTTGCCTTCTCCGCTAAACACTTTGTGGTTGTGATGGAAATGCTCCTTCATTCGGCAGCGGCGATAGCGTCTATGTGTCATGGAACACGTGTGTACACCAACGCAGGCAGCCGTAGAGATGACCCTGAGCATCGTCAGCAAATGTTTCGCGCTACTGCGGAGTGATCCGCACGGCCGTTTGCCGCTTGGCCAAGTGGAAAGATGTTTGGGAGAGGTTTGCTGTTTTGGTTCTGGGTGGTTGCTGAAAAGTCCTCAACTCCCAATGCAGTTTGCAAAGTTTGCAACACGTGGTTGCTGAACGCTTAAAGGATTTTGTTCTGGTAGTCCTTCATGGCGCCCACAGAGTCTTAGAGTTGATACTGTTTCCTTCTCGTGGGATGTCTCACTGGGTGGACTCTTTAAACCTGCTGAGTAGTTGTGAAAGTAGATGATGGACTTGCATGCGCGGAGTTCTTCCATTTTAGACACACTGACATGAAGGAAGGATACAAAATTAGTGCAGAAACCACAAGCACTTTCTGGAGTCCGACATGCCCAAGCGTTTGTTACACATCTTTGTGCCATGATCCTTTTGGGCCGGGCCTAAAACGGTGAATGTCCCTCTAAAAGAATAGCAGACATCCATCACAACCAAAAGAAGAACACTGAAGAAGATCACGGAAGCCCAAGATCCTTTGGTCCACCACTTCTTTGAAGCGACAGCGAGGTGACAGATGACTCGTTTGGTCCGGAACCGACAGCTTTTTGAGGCACTGCACTCCGTTGCACATTGCTGCCCTACAGAGCAGTGTCGAGGCAGCTGAAGTGATTGTGCGGGATTCACCCAAAGTGGTGGAAAGGAGCCTTGGCAAGTCCCAGAAACTGCGAAACTCCAGAAAGCTTAGTGCGGCACATCTGTTTTTAATGGCCTTTTTTGTTTTGAGTGGACCTTGCGGGGTCGGTGTAGGGCTTCAACACTCTATCAGAATCCTCCCACTACTCCCAGTCCGTACTGAGGACTCACCGGGAATCTCCATCGGCCCTGAGCCCCTTGCACATTGCCATTTTGTGCGGTTCGCACGCGATGGTGGAGCTCCTGCTGGACGGCAAGGCGAATCCCAATGTGCTTTGGTGAAAAGTCGGAGGAGTTGCACATGTTTCTCACATGTTTCTTGCCATTGTTGCGGAAAGGTCGGAACTGCAGACTGCTTCTCATATCGATGCCATCCCAAATCCTTGAAGTCCTTGGGATAAAATGATGCAATCCTGTATACCTAGACACCTCATGAGATTCGATCAATCAAAAGCGACACCAAAACTCCCTGCCCCAGCCCTGGCTTTGGCAGATCGTACGCGTTTCGCTCATGTCAGTTCCTGAGTCAGCTGAGCTGACTGGGCTTACGCACTTCCTGGTACGATGAGGTCTTGACCCTGCATGGCGTGTCGCCCCTGCACTTGGCTGCCACCACCTCCAAGGACGGAGGTTCTTGATTGGTGCGTGGAACAGTGAGAAATTGTGACCATGACTCTGCAGTTGTCAGGGTTCTTTTCTGGCTTTTGGTGCGTTTCTTAACCCCAGATCGCGATGTTTTCAGGAACTTTGTCAATTGCTGGTGGCCTATGCCGCAGAGCCAGCACTGCATGATGTCATGGGAGCCTTGGTCCAACTTGGCTCGCTCCGCAGCTCATTGCGTGGATCTGGATGTGTTGGCCCTCGAGAATTGCAGAAAAATCCGGAAACTTTGTGGGCCGTGTACAGGCACAAGACTTGTACAAATGTGCCTGTTTTGATTGAGCACCGTCAGAAGCCCTCAAGAAAGGAATTTAGATGAAGTTCAC